CGGGTCAGCGTGATAGGATGTGGCGAGATGAGACGTTGGCGCATTTTGGTGGCTTCTTCAGATGCCGTTTTCCACGAAATAAAGATTTGCGATGATTCCAGTGTGTCACTGAAGGCTTGGGTTGCTGGGTTGCAAACAACTGCTTGTTTTGTAGCTGGCTTCGTATCGTTCTAACTTATAGTGTCAAGCGCCGGGGTTTGAGTCGCTCTGATGCTCTGCATTAGACCTTTGGCAGAGATGGAGCTGATGGACTATGATTTACGAAAGTGATTGCAGGCGGCTGTTTTTACGCAACCAGCCGTCCTTAGTGCGGACTTCGGCTTCGTCAATCCAACAAACCATAACATTCTAGCAAGTTTACAGAGCATTGCGTAATGCGTCGATTGTCAAGCCCTGCATTGTATTTTAGAGTCGCCACGCTGGGAACGGCACAAAACATATTGCATGCCTATCTATTGAAGAGCGGATGATCCTTACATGCGACACTACGAGGACATAATCCGGAATTTGGATCACCGGCGTTTCGTCGACTACTCAGCTGCACTGTCCCACGGCCGTCGCGAACCCGGACGACGGTGAAAACAGGGCGCCTGGGACGATTTGATCAAGCTTCGGGAAATTCACACGTGATGTTTAGCAAGTAGAAGGCCCACAGAGGGGGAGAAGCTCCAAATGTCACGTTACTTATATGCCCTCCGGCGCCCTATTTTCACCGGCGTCCGCGAACCCCCACCCTTCCCCCGCCACCCCTACACGATACCCACGGTCCGGTCAGAACTGGTTCGACTGGGGCGTGGCGCCGAGCGGGACTGCAGCTCACGAATGTCGCCCGGGAGGCCCAGTGAGGCGAATGGCTGGTGTGGGAGCGGGGGACGGGGGTCAATCACTGGTTATCAGTGGCGTGGGTCGTAGCACGGCACGGCGTGCCGTGGGGTGAATCGGCCTCGCGCTGCAGCGCGGCGACGGGGACCAAATAAGGCTACGATGGCAGGACATCCAGTGTGCACGGGTTTTATGGCACTGCAGAGCGCAGACTCTGGGGAGAATTGGGGTTCAAGTCGCTCCGGAATTTGATGCAAGAGATGGATGGGGGGAGTAATTTCGGTGGTTAATTTTGACCCCCTGAGGAGTGCCGTTGTTTAGTAGCCGGGGCAAGACGTGACATATATTTCAGACTACACCTCGACGTCTCCTAAAGATCCAACCAATAACTAGTTTTTTGATAGGTACTGCTGGTCAAATGACCGATCTAGCCGATGCAGTTAACCGCTATACAAGTGTGGTAAAAACCTGCCGTGACCGCGCTGGCGACTTCATAACGAACTCTTTATTTAGCCTCATGATCTTGTATTGTTTCGAGCCTATTGTGTAAACCAAAAAGGAATAAATACTAAAAGCGTTGCCCAATCACGAAACGCGAATACACACGATCGCTGGAATAATATCACAATATACCACGCGGCGGGATGGGAGGTTGTCTAGATGCGATCAGTCGATGCGCTGACACCGATAATCACTTTGTGATAAGGTCTCTATATGGGACACACGGGAAGTTCTAGATGCCAAACGGGTTGAACACACGGTCACCAGAGCCAACAGACGGTCGGGACGGTCGGAGCTCCGCTCTCGCCTCGCTCGGAGGCGCGGCGGAGGTCCGGCGGCACGGCGAATTTCGACAAGACTAGTGACACTCTGTGTCAGCAGCCGGGGCTGACCGACTGCCCCGGGCCCCCGGGATCGGAGCCGCAGCCGCACAGATCTGGCAAGAGACGCCGTCGGACACGAGCGTCGTATTTGTACACCGGCTCAGGCGCTGCCAGTGAGACCGGCCACCGCCTTTTTCACCTTCTCTACCGCCGCTGTGGCGTACACGGGTCCCTCTGTGCGCACATAGTCCCAGCTCTGCGCCAGCCACTTCCCGGCCGCCGAGGCGTACTTGGGGCCCTCGCGCTGCACCACCTCCCAGGCGTCTCCGGCGGCGCGCTGCGCGGCGGCCGCCCACTCGGCCACCACGGGACCGCCGTCCTGGCGGAGCCGCGCCGCCGCCGACAGCACCCCCGCCTTGACGGCCGTGCCCTGGGCGGCGGCCGCTTCCCAGAGCGGGCCGGCCGCCGTCGCCGTGGCGTTCCAGCCGCGCGCCGCCGCCGCGGCCGCCGTGTCCCAGTGTGGCCGTATCGCCACCACAGCAGAGTCCCAGTACGGCTTCACAGCGGCCAGCGCGGTGTCACAGTGCGGCTTGGCCACCGCCCAGCCGGCCGACGCCGCCTCGTACGTCTTCCTGATGGCCACCGAAGTAACAGCCAGCGCGCGCTCTCCGGCGATGGAGCCGTAGTGTCGCGTCACGTTCCAGGCTCGACCGGCGCCCTCCTTGACGGGCACCCAGTAGGGCCGCTGGGTGTCCATCAGGTAGCGGTCGACGGTGTCGGCGCGCTCGGAGGCCCACTGGAGAGCGGCGCCGCCGTGCTCGCGGGACAGGGCGGCCACGGTGGCCCAGCTGGAAGCCAGCCGGGCGCGCGCCCGCTCCAGGCCCGGCTCAGACAGGTCACCGTCTGCATTCAGGAACAGCAGGCGGCCGGCCAGCACGGCGGCCGCCAGCAGCAGCAACAGGTTCAGCTTCCCGAGACATGACCAGCCGCGGCACTCTGCAATGGAGAGGGTGACCAGTCAGCTGATACATGCCACCAACAAACAAGAGAGCTGGGTGTGTAGTCTGGCAGTCATGCTGTCACATGGTCCAGAAAGATTGAAAGAAATAAGAAAGCAAAGAATGAAATGCTGACTCTATTAGTAATAGACAAAAAGCAGCAAATTGAAATGGGGAGGTCAGTCTCAGTGGATCAATCAAGTCACTCAGCTCAGTCCATTCATTGAACCTAACAATTAAGGAGTTTGGATGAGTGTGTGGTATATGTTATAACATTACACATACATTTGGACATACAGAGTTAGAGTGCACCTTCCTATTACACTTATCCTTGAAACATGGGTTTAAAGAAAAATGCTTGGAGTGCATCAGCAAGACAATCTGAAAATAGCATCAGTATCTTACCATTTTGTGATTTGTTAGATTGCTTATTCTTCTGTTTTGGGGATGACTTTGGTTTGTGGTTCACAGACTCAGGCTCAGCTTGCTTCTTCTGTTGCTCTTGCTTCTTCTTGTTTGCTTGCTTATTGCCACCCATGGCTTTTAGCTCTCTATTTAACTAATAATTTAATCTGCGGAAGGTAAATCATGGTTTATCAAATCATGGACCATGCACAACTAATAAGCAGCAACTAATAACTCATAAGTACTGCAATTTTAATCACTTAAAACATCATCATAACAGTATGCATGAGAGATTAAATTATGTGGTCTGCAGGCTACTTCATTTTCCATTGTTTAATGATCGCATGGAGATGGCAGTAAAGCCCCTATTTCACTTTTGAGTGAACCTTGAATTTATTGTTATGGCCAAGAATATTTGTCAAATGATTAAGGATCGTTAAAACAAAATTGAAGCATTGAAGTAAGGTTTAAAGGGACCCTCCCACCTTCAAAAAAGTTAATGAATTGGCACGAAAGTGATGTCGCTCGGTTCAGAAAGAGCGAAAACGAATATCTACCAAATTTCATCGAAAAATATTCACCGGTTTTCAAGATATTAGACTTTTACTTTTGTTTACTTTTTGGGATCTCCGCTGTTCCTAGCGACTTTATTTGAAAGTGCGGCATTTGTTGCGCGCAAAGCAGCATATACCACCGCGTGCTACCAAACATTTGAGTAAAAGATTTAAAAATCGTTAGATCTCCGCTGACGTCACAAATTCTAAGGGGGCATACCAATGCACTAGCCCCTTAGAATCCGAAAACTGCAAGTTTGAAATTCCATATCTCCGAATTAAAGCATTTGTCGATGTTGTGAGTGCCCAAACCAGTATTTGCAGGCCATGGCCACCAATTTGGCTATCTCAACTCAAAACTAATGTTAAGGTGGGAGTGTCCCTTTAACTTTACAAGATCAAATTAGAAGAACATAAGTTGAAGTGCCTCACTGTAGATAGAGAACTAAGGCATCAGACAGTTACTTACTACCTGCTAATATAACCTGTAGTACCATTTATATGATAGAAAACATTACCCAAACTAATTTCAAGAATATGGGAATTCAGATTTAAAATTCAAAATAATCAAACCAAGGCATCATGATATAAGCGATAATTGAAAGTGTACGATTACTTTGCATGTGTCTTATTTTGGCAGCTGAATTAACGGCCACATAATTATTTCAAGCAAACGGTAATTTAAGTATGTTATTCGTAAATTTATGAAAAATGCACCCACTTCACAACGGCTCGGCTCTCGTAAGCTGAATGCGTCCTTCACATTTACGAATTTCTTTGTTTGTCACTGCTGCGCCACAAGCGTAGTTCAGCAAGTCAGCTGATCAACATCACTCTTTCCTCGCACACGTAGCGTAAGCGGAGCACGTCACAAGCTCCACGCCAGTCTGTCCGCTCTGCTGGCCACCTGGCGGAGCAGGGGCACACCTCGCTACAGCTGCACGGGAGCAAGCGGGTGCAGCTGAACTGAACGGGTGAATGCAGCATGCCTTTTTATTGATAAACGGCAATGTCCTTTATGTAGTTTATAGGAGCGCCGACAAAGCTAACCGGGGCCTCGCAATGTTTTACGGTATCCGGCAGCTGACAAAACGACTTCTGAAACTTCTGAATCTGTCGAGTCAAACTTCTTTACCAGCCTAATTCTTGATCACCGACCTATGCTGCAGCCTCCGGCTGGCGGGCGGCCCTTCGCCCCAGCAACAGCTGATAGCGGCTCAATAGCATTCCCCTCCCATAGGCTCACAGCTCCCACGGGACAGGCAACCGCGGCGCACTAGATCATTCCCATCCCCATCATATCATCCTACGACCCCGATTCAGACCGAAAGGCCCAGACTCCAACGAAACAAAAAGTAAGCCAAAAGACGTGCTCCAAGACACCTCATGACAGCGACATCACGTCAACAATTTATATTCGTCGTAAATGAACAGTCCATCGGTCGTTGCTATAAAAGGCTGCACAAAAGCCGATCTATATAAAACATTCATAGGCAGTCAACAAGTGCTCTGTGCACCGCACGATCTGAGTTCTGTGGGGGTTAAACCATAACAAGCGTCTCACTGGCAACAATTATTGCACTACCCTAGATAGCAATACGGACTAGAGTTCGGCAGATTGACGGAGTATCGGCACCTGAGATAAAATGGGAGGGGAGAAGTCGAAAGAATACTTGTATCGGACGCGGCGATCGGTCGTTCCCCCGTTCCGGTGCAAACGTCATTCTGTGCAACACTTCGCGTCAACAGCAGACACCACCACCGTTCTCGGCTACAAAACTCACTCGGCACCCTCCGCTGGGCTCTCTCTCTCCGACACCGGACCGCTGTGTTCCGCAGTCGTGGTGTCACTCCACACACATCTTCCCCACGTCCCGGCACAGACCACATCGCGTCACAGGGGGAGCCAGACGACAGACGAGAGAAGCGAGATTGACATCAGATCATCATCCACTACACGGCGCTCTAACAGCAGAGTAAACCAGCGACACATCGTGTCCAGTCGCCGAGACACAGCCCGGGCCACAGCCGACCCTCAGGGCAGCCGCAGCCTCGGGCCGAGTCCCGACCAGCATACAGATCTAGAGTCCGACCGGTGAGTCGATCGGACAGAGCACAGTCGGACAGCAAGCGACTACGCCGGCGGGCGGCGGGTTGACCGTCGCCCGCCGGGGCGGCGCGAGCGGCGCCGTCCGCGGCCAGTCAGGCTATCAGAAGGAAGAAGGTGAGCAGGGCCAGCGCCAGCGTGGCGGCGGCGCCGAGCGTGAAGCCTAGGTGCGGGACGCGGCGGCAGGGGGACGGCGGCGGCCGGCCGCCGGCGCCGGGACGTGGGGCGCGTCCTCACTCGGCCACCGTGGCCGGCGGCAGCACCTGCACCTTGCCCTTGTACTGCTCCTCCAGCTGTTTGATGTCGTACAGCACCTCGAGGATGCAGCCCATGCTCCAGGCCTGCGCCTGGCAGCTGAACCTGCAGTACTCTCCGTTGGCGTTGGTGAGCTCCGGCAGACTGCGCCACACAGAGTCGGACAGCTGGCGACACACGGGACGAAGGAACCAAGTCAGCAGAGTGAACATTAGATACAGCCCGACAAACACACATCTCAAGGTAGCCGCGGTTAGAGGTATAATCGTCCGCGTAAGCGATACATGGCGTCGATCGCTGACATGCAAACATGTACGCAACCCCCGACACCAATGTCAGTCGACATCCTTCGCCACCCTATAATCAACACGGACCGACCCAACATCCGCTCAGCGCTTCCACCGGCTTCGCACTAACTTCCCCCACCTCTCACCATGATAAGAGCGTCACTACCACATGGCTCCCCGGGCAGACCCACCTGGACATAGTGTTTGGAGATGATGTGTTTGACCTTGCTGATGGTGGCCTGCAGCAGCGCCGGGCCGCCGATGATGGGCGCAAAGTGGAGTCGCGCGCGCAGGTAGAAGCCCATCGGCCACACCCACTCCTGAAGGGTCAGAGGGGACAAATTGTTCAGACGGCCATCGGTCAGCAGTGGCGGGGACGGCCCGGGCTTGTGGCCGCCGCGGCTGTCATCGACACATGCCTCGTAGTTACTGCAAATTGGCTGGCAATGGGCTCAACTAGAGCCATGGGGCGACTCATAACCTTTTAAATGATTTCCAAGGTCGAAAACAGTCGCGACAAACAGTAGCAATCACGGCGGTCTCCTCTCCTTCCTCCATCTCTCTCCCTCTCCCCTCCTTCCCTCCTCTCCCTCTCACCGGTCCGTTGTGGTAGCTGAAGCCGTGCGCCTTCTTGGGGTCGGTGCCATCGTCGTCGACGTTGTAGACGCCGTCGTAGGCCCAGTCGCACTCTGCCAGCGTCCTCATGCCGAGCGGACCGACCAGCAGTCGGTCGGCCGTCTCCAGCGCCGTCCACACGTGGTGCGGGTTAAACATCTCCGGCGCCTGCACGAGAGGAAGGACGCGTGCTCAGATACTCTTCGTACTAACCAGTAGCAGACTAAAAGGCGGTTGGCTCGTGAGCGACGACAACCCGGACGTCAGGCTGCTCATCAACACACCGCAAGCTAGAAGCTTGAGGTGTGTGGACACACCTCATGGCATAATTCATGGCTGAATAAGCCCAGATAGGTCGGTCATACCACAAAATAAAATGACTCACGCTACACATCAGAAAACCGGAATATTATCTACCCTACCTTACATCGAACAGTGGACAGTCCAAATAAAGTCTGACAGAGCAGGATATTCCCGCCTCCCGCCTCCGTTCGTCGCTGACTCACGGCCACCATGGCGATGGGGAAGTTGCAGCGCAGCTGGTAGTCGGCCCAGAACTGCGAGGCGCAGTGCGAGTCCTTGTACATGCCGCGCACGTTGATCAGCTCCGGCACCGGCTCAAACTCCGGGTGCGGCACGTGGTGGATGTAAAACAGCTTCTCAAAGTTTTTGTCGATCCGCTCGGCCCATTCCTCCCATTTCCAGCCAACGTACGTGCCTGGGACGAGAGAAGAGACAATGGGTTAGCGGTGAACCATCCGAATGGCATACAACACAAACAACAGACGCAAACAAAAAGCATGCCCTCAGTTCAATCAGGACCATCATACCCACCTACCCCACTTAGCTAATTCCTCCTCAACATCTGTCCTTACCCTGTTCGTCGGTCTTGGTGACTCCCTCGTACGGGTACTTGCCGCCCTTGTGCAGCTTGGCCAGCCAGCCGACGGTGGCTCGGGACAGGCCGACCAGCTCCACGGCGCTACCGTCGCGCGGCGTGGCCGGCTTGCCCTTGTTGCCGGCGTGCTCGCTGGAGCCCATCTTGTCCATCCAGGTGCCGCAGTTGTGCACGTTACCGCCGAACACGAAACCTGCACACACAAAAAAAAAACAGATAGGACGTGAGAGATCTGCAGACATGGAGTTCGCATCTACGACATGTAGTTCAATAAATATTCCGCAATAACACTTAGCCAAGTGCAACGTTAAGTGAGCAGATAATGCATGAAGATAGACAACTAATAAATCAAGAACGGGCGATAATAAGCCGTCATAATTTCACTGTAACCATAATTTACCGTACACATTCGCCGTAACCAGCACCATCCGACCCGGCCAACGACTCCACCCACCCACCCACCGGTCTCCATGTTGACGCCGATCTGGTTGTTGAAGCCCTGGTCAGACATGTCACGGTCGATCTGGAAGCCGGCGTTACGCTCGCGGAAGCTGAGGCCCTCAAAGTGGCGCTGCAGCGCCTCCTGGATGACGTCATGGAGCGGATGTTCCTGGGGAGACGAGCGTGGGGAGGGTCACTAACGCAAACCGGCGGCATTTGTCAATAGGGAGAGGTCGAGATCCGAAGCCCGTTTGGAGAGAGATTAGCAGTGTCTAACTCATTCAGCTCCACGACTTCTGAGATGCAGCTATGAATGGATATAGATGAAGGAATAAACATGAATAAATTAATATGAATGAATGAATGAATGAATGAATGAATGAATGAATGAATGAATTTATTAATTAATTAATTAATGAACAAATGAGTGAATGAATGAATGCATATGAAAATCAGTGATAAGGCCGGCAATGTTGAATCATGGAAGTCAGGTTACGATTACACTTCAAAATCACTGCGTAGATCCCTTTCCTCAGCCGGCAATCATAATCCCCTGTCCCGCGTCAACTAACACCCCGCCGCCCTCCGGAGTACTAGGGCCGGTGTCGTTACGGCACTCACCACCTCGCCAGTCTCAAGCGGCGGCGAGTCGTCAGTGGGGAACAGCCGGGACACCTTGTCCTGCAGGATGCTGACGCCGCCCGGCACCAGACGCACATACTCCTGCGAGGGAGCGCAGACAGACAGACGTCAGTCGAGAGGATAATGTAAAATAGCACAGCACATGGATAACAGTAGGGTGCAAGCAGTGACACTGAAACCAAACGCAGCTAACAACACGAGGAAGGATTAGCGCGTAGTCAAACAGAAACGCAAATCTCTATGAACGACACGATCCACCCCTCCTTTCACAAAAAGGCTATCGATTTTTCCTCCACTACCATTTTACCACTCGACATATCACCTAACCATCCATTACCAACCCTGAAGTCCCACAAGTCCCAGCACCTCCCTATAAGTGTCCCAGCGCCACGCACCTGGATGCAGTAGAGCCACCACCAGACGGCGTCGCGGCAGTTGAAGCGCGAGTTCTTGCCGCCGTCCAGTAGGTTGGGGATGAGGCCGTGGCGCAGACAGCCGGCGTACGCCAGGATGATGTAGCGCGCCTCCACGTGGCGGCCCGTGATGATGAACAGGCCGCGCAGAGCGATGAACGTGTCCCGGCCCCAGTTGCGCATATAGCCGGTGGAGAAGTGCGGCAGACCGGCGCACAGGCTCACACACGCCTGGCCGAGAACAGAACGGGGTAGGTTAGTCAGGGAGGTATTAGCAGGGAGTCCACTTATGGCAAGACGGCGTTTTAATGACCACTTATGAAGACCTAGACAAATCACAGCTGATGCAACAAAGAGTCTGAAAGTGAAAAAGCTATGCCTATATGAAAGTTGTATAAGATCTGCACACTCCCACGGACCCACTCACCCACTCGCGACCCTCCCGTCACCGCCCCGCTCCTCCCATTCGTCCGTCGGTCCTCACCTGTCCCTGTTTTCCGTCTGGCCGGGTCCAGGAGGCGGGCCGCGGCGGTGCCAGGTTGGCCGAGATCTCCGGTAGCGGAGACGAGTGCACCAGGCCGCCCATCTGGATCGAGCCCATCGCCAAGTCCTTCGTGAACTCGGAGCCCTCGCGCACGAACCTACCGCAGAACAGACAAGACGGTTATAGTAACAGGCAACAGCAAGACTGCTTCACTTTCGTCAAATCGACTTTCCGATAGCCGATCAACCAAGCTGCTAGCAAGCGCTCTCCGGCAAAGTAATCAAATAAATCTGCAAGCGACAACTACAATTACAGATTACGTCTCCAGTGTAGGACTGCAAGCACCTAGTATTTAGCAATCCAACACTAAACTGACTCTTCCATCACCACACCCACAATATCTACACCACAACAGAGTCCGTAGCCCGCCGGAATGTCGTCTCGTCCGACCCGCCCGGCCCGGTCCGGCGCGTCGAACGGCACTTACCTGGCCATCTGCCTCCACGTGCTGTTGAGCAGGTGCACGTACACACCCAGAACGGTGGCGTCAAAGTAGGCCGGCACCAGGTAGCGCGGGATCTGCTTGATGTATTGGAACGTGTCCTGCGACAGAGAAAGTCAATGTAAGCTACGAGTTATGGATAATCATTTCCTCTGGCAATAGTAGGCACTAGACGGTAGAACTCAAGAGCAAAGTATATTGTAAGTGAATAGACGGACAGTCACGTTCTTCAATAAAGTAAGCCTACGAAGAAACTGGAGCGTCGCATCACTTCTTGCAACTGCATGTTCCATACGGGCAATGACCTACCAAAGTCTAGCTACCTGCCCGTCGTCGCCCCAATGCCCCACCGACTAGACCTCAGCTGCTCCCCTCCCCCGCGACGCATCGTCCGACTCACATCCAGCCAGTTGGCGAGCTCCATGGTGTTGGGCTCGAGCCGCAGCCGGCCGACCACACAGTCCATGAGCCAGTTACCCTGGCGCAGGTTCTCACACAGAGGGTGGCCCAGGTCGTTCTTCACACGGATATCGGCCATCAGCGACATCACGCCTGTGAGCATGAATAGTGGATCAGTTTATCAGTCTCAGCGGTGCTTCTTCACTGCCATGCAACAGGCTGCAACATTTCTACGAGCCCCTATCTCTCCATCCCTCTCCTCTCCAACCTCCACCAAAGTCCCTCCCATCAGCCACTCACTCTGCAGGCCCGAGTAGACGAGCGGGCCGAAGTTGGGCACGTCGTAGGCGGCCCAGCCGCGGCCCTCGTCGCGCTCCTCCTGGTCGCAGCGGTAGATGATGCGGTTCATGTCGGCCAGCGTCAGTCGGCTGATGATGTGCTCGACGTCAGTGCTGGCGCTGAAGCGCGTGAGCTCGTAGACGATACAGCGCAGCTTCTCCACGGCTCCGACGGCCACCGGGCACGGCGCGATCCTGCCGGCGGGGCGAGGGACAGACGACGATGTCAGCAACAACTGCAGGCTGCGGTACGAGTGTGAGATAGAGCAGTAATGACGGAAAGGGAGGTGTTGAAGGTGGTAGTATAAAAAAATGCAAGCATGAAACATCTGTGGAATAAACGAACGGATGATGGAAGGGCACATAATACGATCAAAACCTTCAATGGTTTGCCGCAACACCCTAGAGGCCTCTCTTGGCTGAAATTTCTGCGTCGATCTCAGCACTAACCGGAGTGCGAACACGGATCCGGGCGGGAAGTCGGTGTAGTCCATGACCGTGTAGTCGTTCTCGATCCGGTGTGTCAGCATGCTCGACTTCTCGATCTCAAAGTTCTCCCGGATGTCGACCCGGTACTGGTTAACTCCGTTGATGTAGGTGCCCGAGCGCTCAATGTCCTCCAAGTGCAGCGGCCTAGAAAACAGCATTCATGAGGATGAATTCGGCGTAAATGCTCGGGCCTCGGACTGAAAGGTCGGTATATAATTGAGGTTGAATACTTAGAGTAAAGCGGCATTCAATTAACAGCAACATCAGTGATATCGCATTTCACCTCCAGCTGATGTGCCCATCACATCCCTTCTCCCTTCTCCCTCTTCCTCCCTTCCCACGCCTCACCCCTTCCATTCCTTCCTCCCTCCTCTCCCAGATCTCACCGTCCGTCTCTGGGCACGACTCTGGCCTCGAACACCACCTCAGCCACCGTGCCCTGGATGCGCAGCGCCTTGATGCCGTCGGGCGTCCACAAATTCTGCGGCTGACCGAACGCCGTGTGCGCGCACAGCACGTACGACTGGTGGTTGACCGGGTTGTGGCGCGTGATGGTCACTATGTCGGGCGTCACCTGGTCCACGTACACCTGTCGGGGAGGGGGAGCGGTCAAGGGGCGCCGAGTGGGGCACACGATGATGGCTGAGGCAGCGAGCAACGATGGCATGTTGTCTTGGCAGTTTCGTAAAATGAAGATAGACGATTGACTAAGGGTGTGTCATTCATGACTTTTATGAATGTGTAGCCAAAAGAGAGGAATATTTGAATAGGGACAGTCTCCCTTAAGTTCAAAATATGTGGTGGCACACAATACCTACAGGTAAGCATTGATTGACTGCTATCATGTCATTGCGAGGCATATCATATAGATTTCAACGCACATACAGAGAACTTATGCTCGAAGCTTCGTCAGTTCATCCAGCGCCGACACCCCGCGCGTTTGCCGCCGCCTCACCTGCGTGAATCCCATCCTGCCCATCTCGTAGTGGAGCTTGCTGAGCACCTGTTTGCCGCGGATGACACCCGAGTCGACGTCCACCTGGCCCGAGCCGCCGCCGCCCCACGAGTTGTACAGCCGCGTCTCAGACACCACGTTTATCTGACGGAAAATGGCTGTCAGCAACACAAGCAGAGAAAATGGGATCCTTGCTCAATGCAGGGGTTGAGGAGGCATGCCACTTTAAAATTGTAAGAAACCGTCGAAGAAATTGAGGATTCATATTGCATAACTATACTGAAGTAAAGAAAGCAGATGCTAAGTCGCACAATACAGCACTCTAAAAGACGACATTGAGGCATATTTGTTGGCACACCCCTCCCCTTGTAATACCCCTTCACTTGTCCGCCACACCCACCCACCGGCCACCTCTCCACCAGTCAATCAATTCCGTTCACCCGCTCTCCACACCCCACTCTCCCTCCCATCCACTCACATGGTGCGGCACCAGCTCGTCATATCCGCGGTTGCTGCCGGCCGCGCAGCAGGCCATGTAGACGAGCGCGGCGCTGGGCAGCGCGTCCAGCGGCGAGCGGGTCGTCACCGGACACGGGTTGTCGTGCGTCAGATCCATGAAGATGGCGTGCGACCGGGCCGGCGCCAGCGGACGGATGTGCGGCTTGAGGAAGGAGCCGACCGGCTCGCCGCCGTACAGGTACACCAGACGGCCCAGCTCGTGCGAATTGCCCGCCGACATGGCCTCTGTGAGGGCGGGGTGGGCGGTTATGCAAAGTTCGAGATGGTTGTGTTCCCAGGAAACTGCATATCTAATAGCGTTATTGATTTATCAGTAGAAAAAAAGCTTCATTTGATAGCAGGTTGTCGCACCCAACCAGATATCGAACAATAAACTGCGACAAATGTCAGAATGTTTGAGCGAGAGCCGAAAGATGTGGTAGGCCGCCCTCGCGACATCAGCAGGTAGCGATTGATCACAGACCAGGGTGTCAACTGACCTCTGATGAGCGAGTTGATGCCGAGCCGGTTGACGAACAGGTTGTCCGTGCGGTCGTTGTTGGTGAACAGCTCGGCCACCAAGTACAGGTCGGGACGGATCTTGCGGGCCGCGTCCAGCATGTACTGGAAAGGGCACACAGAAAGGTCGGGCGGTTACCACAATGAACTGACGCCAAAGCTAGGCCGCACAGAAATCGTCCTACAATAGTTAGCGAGGAAAGGCTGAGATGCAAGCAAACTGAAGCGAAGAACGCCAGCTCAGCTGTCTGACTCGGTGTGCCTGAGAGCCACAGCTATCCACCCATCCTCCCGAACTCGCGGGAGAGTCGGAGCGTCTCCTTACCTCAGCCACGTGGATGGGTGTCGAGTGGCAGTTGTCGAGTCGCACTCCGTGGAACACGCGCGCCACCTGTTCGCAGTAGCGGCGCATGTGCTGCCACAGGAACGGACAGTCGTCCGGACGGTTACCGTACCTGGCAGAGGCGGGGGCGGGAGGCGAGGGGTGGGTGATGGCGTAGGGCGGTCAAAGCGGACATATAATGCCTGAAGGAAGAGCTACAGAGCGGAGTGCTATGTGGTACGGCATCAGACGAAATCGCCAGCAGCCGAATATGTGTTCAAGGGAAACCAGCTGACACGGGAAAAATTTTCACTCATTCGTTGAATCTGATGTCGAAGAGTGGTTCCAACTTCCAACAGTAACATTCAAATGTATACATTTAGTCCCCTGGCCTATTATATCCCACGACTGACCTCAGTTTGATGCAGTCTCCCCAGGCGATCAGCTCTCGGCGCAGGTAGACGTCACAGCCGGGCCGGGCAAAGTCGCTCAGCGGGTCGTCACCCATCACCCAGCCGTTGTGCGCCATCAGGTGACACGCGTCCGGTCCGAACGCGATGGCTTCCTCCTGCTCCAGTGAGCGCTGCACCTCCAGACTCTTGGAGCCGTCCAGTGTCGTGAAGTAACTGAGCGGGAACACACAAAGATGTATAAGGTGAAACGAATATTACGAGGTTACTGAAAGCTTAGTCACCATTTATACAAGGTAATCTTCGAAATACTTTTCACCGTATCGATTTTTTTTTACTGCGGGTTCAGGTACAATCAAGAAGTTAGCCTTACTTGTCAGGGTACAAAACTTTTAGCGTGAATATCCAAGGAAATACATTCTCTATTCCGACATATAAAGCTGAGCACTTTCACGATCCGAGCTACCCTTACATCCGTGACCTCACGGACCCTCTGTCAAGCCGCGATCTCCCGGGACCTCAGCACCTGCCCCGTCGCGACCCCACTCCCACTCACGGCGCAGCCAGCGGCGTCTTCCAGGTGAGGCCGCGCAGCTTGGGCCCGTGGTCGGCCAGTCGCTCGTAGCGCACGCCCGAGATGATGTTCTCGACGGCGGCCCCCAGGTGTCCCTGCACCACGCCGGCCGCCTGCTCGTTGAGCTCCATCAGCCGGCGGCGCAGCTGGTCCTTGGCGTGGTCCAGACCGGCGCTGTGACACGAGCGAGGGTCATATTTGGGGTACGTACCGACGCACTGCAGGAGGTGAAGAAATACGCACAGGATCAGGAGCGCAGAAGTAGGTACCAACAAGAGAACGATAATTCGTTCAGCAGGCATATATCCAACGTAAATTTACGATTACAGTGTGGATTCTGAAAAGGAACAATCTTTTTTCATTATACGAGGGGGTATCGAAAAGTTCTGATCATCACCACGAATGAGGTGTGATAGAAATTTGATTTTTTTTACATGATGTCCATTACTCCTTTACAAGTCACCACATACGATCGCAAACTTATTGCATCGCGTCTTGAGCTGCCTCAGGCGGTCATTGTAGGACCTTCGCACTGTCCCGTAAATCACTGCTCCACCTCATCAATGACGTCATTTCTGTCCTTAAATCACCGGCCATACTGTGGATTCTTCATCTCCCGTAACAATCAAGAGTCAGTTAATACCCGGTCAGGTGAATTTCTTAGATGCGGTAGGATTTAATGTCCACATCATGTTCTTTCTTCAATCGCAGCTCAGGACGAATGGGCGGGAGCGCTGTCGGTGCGGATAAAACATCTTTCTTTGGCTTTTTTTGCGGCGATTCTGCTTGAGGCCATCTCGCAACTTCTTCAAAAGTGTGCAGTGGTGCTTGCTTATCATTATCCGACCATCATCAAGACAGTCGGTAATGACTATCCTACGCCAGATCCAGAACACTGATAGCATTGACCTTCCATATCGGCTTCTGCATCTTCGCCTTTTAAGAAGGACAGATGTGCTGTGCTTAAATTTCTTGATCATCTTTTTGTCTCTGGATCATGCACATAGACCCAGCATTCGTCACAAGTCATCAAATTATCGAAGATGTCTTCAATATCCTAAAAAAGGCCTAGTTTTGATTTCGAAGGGCCAAGACGTATTTTTCTCTTGAACAAAGTAGGCACACGAACTTCTAAGCGGGCTGACTCCTTTATCGTCTGTAGTTCTTCGCTGATAATATTTTCAGGCACTGCCAGCATTGAGATCTTTCTGTTGCAAAATCATCTGAAAGGTCACACGACGATCTGTAAGGATGAGGTCCTCCACTTCCTTCACAGTCACCACCTTGTCAGTCACTGGTAGCCACTCACTTCTTGACTCCCCTGCAAGGGCCATGCAACCAAGTTGAAAATTATTTCTTCATTTTCGGTAAGTGCATGAGATGGGCTTTCCTCGCCATAAACTGATTTCACGTTCTTGATGTATTTTCTCAGTGTGATACCGTTTCAAATGCATTAGTTGGATGACGGTTCGGTCCTCAATGGGCCCAATACTCATCTTTTTTACTTCTAAGTCTCTCCTACATAAGATAAAACCACTTCTCAGGATTCTCTTTGCGGTAGCAATGTTCTTAAGAGCCAAATATAATACCAACCAAAAATCATCAAGATCGGTCTACATCTTCTATGTGATGATCAGAACTTTCCGATACCCCCTCGTACAACACCTCAATAGTCGATACCCTCCTCCAGACTCTTGGAGCCGTCCAGTGTCAGAGCCGTCCGTCCAGTGTCAACATAGAAAAAACGTCTTTTCCAAGAACTCAAGAAACGCTTATCTGGGACTACAGTCGTACAGATATTAACAAACTAACAAACATACTAATGCAGACCGACTGGAATTTCATCGACCAAGAAAACATACATGACGCTACAGAGAAGTTCACTCAGACGATCTTGAACGCAGCGGCGGACTGTATTCCGAAGAAAATAATTAAAAGACGACTCAACGATAAGACGTGGATGACGACCGAGTTGAAAAGGAACGTGCGCAAACGCGATAGACTATTCCAAATAGCAAAACAAAAACAGACGACACACGACTGGTCAAAATGGCGAGACCAAAGAAACAAGACAACGGCACTCAACAAAAGACTTAAAGACGCATACTTACAAAGACACGTCGACAAATTACTGGAATACAGGCACGACCCATACAAATATCACAAAACGCTGAAAACACTAATTGGCCGCAAACAGCACGACGCCATCCCACCCTTAGAAAATGAGCGCAATGAAGCTATCACAGACAACACGCAAAAGGCAAACCTAATGAACGACTATTTTGTTTCACAAGCGACAACAGACACGACCGGACTGACTCTCCCTCCAACACAGAACGACGATCGAAACCACGACATTGAGACGCCACCAGCTTTAGAACAAATAACTGTCACAGAAAATCAAGTACTCAAAATTCTTAACACCCTCAACGTGAACAAATCTACTGGTCCTGACAAACTTCCCACACAAATTATAAAAATGACAGCCATACTAATAGTTAAACCACTCACTTTACTGTTCAACAAATCCTTAAGATCCGGAACATTTCCAACTATGTGGAAGGAAGCAACAGTTACACCTATCTTTAAGAAAAATGGCTCTCCATCTGACGCCAAACAATACCGGCCAATAAGTCTCCTTCCTTGTCTGTCGAAAATTCTTGAAAAAATTGTGTTCTCTTCAATTTATGATCACCTCACAGAACACAGTCTTCTTTCGGACAAACAAAGCGGATACCGTCCGCACCACAGCGCCGAAATTCAGTTAACGTACCTGACACACAACATATATAAAAATTTAGACGAGGGACGCGACGTAACAGCAATCTTTCTTGACATTTCAAAGTACTTTGACAAAATTTGGCACAAAGGACTTCTCTTTAAATGCAAACACGAATTTCACATATCTGGCGTTCTCCTTTCCTGGCTAGAATCGTATCTTTCAGACAGAAGACAAAGAGTACGTATTGGCAATGACTTTTCTTCGACAAAAAACATTGAATCCGGCTGCCCACAAGGATCAGTGCTCGGACCTCTTCTTGCTTTAATGTACTTGAACGGACTGACAACGAAAGTGACTAACGACATTCTCTTGTACGCTGACGACACATCTTTATACGCACCACAAAGTAAACAAAACGCTGATTTAGTTCGACAATCATTACAACGAGACCTGGACGCAATTTACGACTATGGAACTCAATGGGCAATTTCCTTAAATCCAACAAAAACTACTCAACAATTTTTCACCCGTAAAACTGGAATAAGTCCTCCCATCCTCACTTTCGGCGGTCAACGTATATCTGTGTCAGACAGCCATAAGCACCTGGGATTAATGTTTTCTAAAGATCTTCGGTTTCACGAGCACACTAACACCATACTTAAAAAAATGAACAAGGCGCTTAGTCCAATATGTCCACTAGCAAAACATTTGACGCGATCAACAATAAACAGCCTATACACCACTTACATTCGACCATTTCACGATTATGCGGACGTAGCTTTTGACGGACTCTTGACAACACACGACCAATTTCGACTTGACAAATTTCAAAATAGAGTTGCAAGACTGATGACAGGTACACCTTTCCGGACTTCTACTGCCAAACTGAGACTAGAAACAGGATGGGGAACACTGAAAGCAAGACGAGAACAACACAAATTAATCCTATTCCACAAAATAATGCATCGTCCAGACACACAACCCGAGTACATCAAAACAATCATACCTCAAACACGTATCACAGACACAGAACGAAACACAAGAAACGCCAACGCCCGAACTCTCCCTGCAAATAACACAACATCATTCCAAAGATCATTCATACCAAGCACCGTCAGGAAATGGAACCAACTTCCAACTTCAATCCGACAACAACCCTGCCTTTCAACCTTTGTAAATGGCATCGTCGAACTGTGGGGCTGCCCTTCTCCCCCTGCATACTACTCATTTGGCAGTAAATTTAGAAATATGCTTCATACACAAATTAGAACCGCAACTTTACCGCTAAATGCATACCTATATCAAATTCAAAAATCAGAATCGTGCTGTTGTGCATGTGGCTTCCGTACCGAAAATGTCCAACACTTCGTTCTATACTGTCCACTGTACCAGTCGTTGAGAGATAATTTATTTACCGATCTCTCCGAAACAATTGATAACTTCACACACCTTCCATCAGAACAAAAATTTGACATCCTCTTCCACGGCAAATCCCTCAGCGCAGAGGACGGTCGGCGCGTCGCCGAGTGCTTCCAGAGCTACATTGAAAAATCCCTCACCATCAGGAATTCGGCGGCGGCTGGCGGCGGCGTGGCCGTGCGGCGGTGACAGCGGCCCTTCCTTGCGGACATCGCCAGTAAACTACCTCAGAGGCGGCAGCATTACTTTAGTTACTCATGCTTTATACGTAACTTAGTTGATACCAACGATTATTTTATACTTTTTAGGTGTATTTAATTTTTCATTGTATTTTTCTTTTAATTCGATTATTAAAACTTCAATTTGTCATTATTTGTGTTTCACCCGATGTTTTTTTTTTTGTCGTGAATGATGTGTGAACGAGCCAGAGTGTGTGAGGGAGAGGTGCCATGAAATAAGCTGAACAGCTTTTGCACCGATCCCAGACTGCCTTATGTTTATATATGCGAAAATATTCAATAAAATCGAGCAAACAAACAACAAACCCATGAGGTATTTTTATGAAAGTTATGTTGATTTCCGGGCATCAATTACTGCATTGGACATCGACGCCTTTTAGAGAATTTTTCGCGAAAACCAACATATAACGACACCACTCACTGACCCATCCTTGTAGAAGATCCTCTTGGCCAGCTGGAGGTCGACTTTGCGTCCGAAGCGGACTCCGCGGGGGTCCGGCATGAGGCGCAGCTGTCCGGCCGAGCAGGGTCGCTGGTCGGTCCACTCGGCGGCGCCGGCCTCGGCGCACAGCGTGCCGAACTGGTCGCACAGCACGGCCGGGTCGCACTGGTAGAACTCGTGCAGACGCACGCGCGGCAGGTACTCGCCGTGCATCAGGTCGCGGATGATCTGCAGCGCGGGGGAAGAGCGGACAGTGAGCCGAGCAGGAACAGCTGCACTCAAAGCGCCGAATTCCATTAATACCATTGCCTGTGTGCCTTGAAACTCTGGCCCTACCAGCAAAATCTTACTTAGACTTAGACTTATTTCGTCGACTCCATCTAGTAGATACAGGATCATTTCTGACCGTCTTCCAATTATGTTGGCTGTCTGGATGATATAAATTTTCAGGACATCATAGTTGGGAGGATTCTATAACAGTTAATTTTCCTGGTTATATTCTCAGTGAGTTCCTTGCGCACACGGGCTTGGTAGATATAATGGATGATCAAGCTTTGTGGCTTATCGGCGATGATGATCAGTTCTGCTGCTGGTAGCGTTCTATTCAAGATAGTTTTGCATATTTTTTGAGCAGCTACTCTATCGTCTTTCATTTCGTCACATTCAAAGAGCATGTGTTCCAGAGTTTCAATGGCATTACGACGCAATGGACAGGCAACAGTTTCTTTGTGCCTTCTAACCATGCTTGTGGCCACCAAAGAGTGGCCCGTTAGTAGGACAATTTTGGTTAGTGTCGCTTGTCTGGTAATTGCGCTGTACCTGCTTGCCGGCCAAAATGCCAAAATCCAATACGATATCATTTTATCAATCAATCCATTAATGCTGTACCAAATAATTAAATGGCAGCGAATTACACAGCAAGACTAGCCACCTCCCCCGTTCCCATGCACAATACAGCTAGGATTGACCTTCCCATACATAGCCAGCCGTCTGACCGCCCCCTCCTCCGCCCCACTCCACCTTCTCCGCTCGACCACTCACCGCCAGGTGCCCCTCCTCTGTCACATCCTCTCCGAGGCCTCGGTCGCGCCACCGGCCGGCCAGCATGTCCCTGGACAGGTGGTCGATGAGTCGGTCCAGCAGGTAGGCCGGCCGCAGGTGCGGCGAGTTCACCAGGTTGTAGCCGCACTCCGGGTGCTCCTGCAGCCACGGCGACTCGTTGGCAGAGTGGTTCAGTACGATGTCGCACACGCTCAGAACCTGCCGATGACAGTGGGAAACAGCGGGTTATTCAGGTGGATGTGATAATACAGCACAGTGTTGATGCTAGTAGAACTCAGCCGGAAGAGAGCATGCATCATAACGTATCATTCCGTTTTCCAGGTACTATGCAAGTAAACTGCCAGTTTTTTTTTCATACGGAAACCAACGCAAAACGAAGTGATGATCAAAACCAGATAAACCAACTACGTTGGAATTTCTGGAAAGCATGAACACATCCCCACTGACTGACACTACAAGTTTGTTTATAAGGAAGCAGGGTTTCTGCAACGATCTTGGCAGACCGATGAGGCAAACGTCTGATCTGGCAAAATAAATAACGGAGTGTCGTCAGTGTCACATCAGACGGTTAGGTTTGCACCGTCCGTTTACTGAGAAACATGACAGTCCAGCCAGCGACCTGATTTAGGCAGTATAACGTGTTCAGCATCACACGGGTGGCTGACACTCAACAAGCTATAGTCACACACATACGCACCTTCCACTCATCGCGCATCTTTTTGATGAGCCGGGCCAGGTCCTCGATGGTGGCCGGCGACCCGTCAGAGTTCTGGAAGGCCGGGTTCAGCCGCAGCTGGTTCGACAGCGAGTAGGCCGAGTTGGAAGCGCCCAGCTCCTGTTCGAAAACAAGAAACTGACATCAGACAGACAGCAAAGGAAACACACACGGCAAATTATTACGTCCTCGGCCGTATGTGTCGGAGAACGAGCCCGCAGACTAAGGACAGCGATTTCATTCGAGTGAGAGATTCGTTACCACTCCTGTGAATAACTGTAAGATGGTTGAAGTGCCCAACTATCTATGACAGGTGAGGACGCACCTGGACGGGCGTGAAGTGGACCATGTTGTAGCCGGTGTTCCTGGCCACCTCCAGCCGGCGCTCCCACTGGTCCAGCGGGCCCAGACACTTGGCCAGCACCGTCTGGCTGACCAGGCAGTCCATGCCGATCACCTCATTGTTCGTGCCGCGCGACAGCGTCGGGTCCACGACAAAGTAGCCGGAGCCGCGCGGGTTCGGGTCCTGACTGGAAACCACACCGCACACGGAACGGTGAGCCGGTGATGGGATGCTTTATTTACGACAGCCTATGCCTTATCCACAGCTTCCACTCCAAGCCAACACAAGCAGGAGGGGCGAGAAACAGAGAGTGCAGCCCTCGATTCTAAACAAGCGTACAACATTCAGTGGTGGCAGACTGAATATTTATGAAACGTCCTGACAAGAGCCGGTGACAGCAAACAACGCTGCCTGGTACGGCGTTCTGTCACACATCATCGCTATCTGAAATGCATGCTCAGTTAAAAACATATCAATATTCTGCCCTGCTCACAATCACGATATTCGATACCTAACCCAGAATACATTGTCCAACAAGGGCAACAGTTCACCAGTTACCAATCAGGCATCGCACAGCTTGAAAACTTCATCCATCCGCCAAACAGCACTCAACTATGTACACACAGAAGAGCAGCATATCGCAACTACAGCCGGCTACTCACCCTTCCGAGTGTGTGAAATAGTAGCGGAACGAGCCGGCGCGCACGATAGGGATCTCGACGAAGATGCTCGTGTCGTCGATGATCTTGCTGTCCGACTGCCAGGGCAGCAGGCGGTACTTGTCGCGGCAAAACTCCTCGTCGGCTGACGCCGGGTGGTTGCTGTACACGGATACGATGCGCCCAAACAGCGACGGCCCCAGGCGAAAGTGGAGTACAAAACCTGCGGCGAGCCAACAAAGACACAATTACAGTGATATGAGTGTGGCACAGCGACGTGGTGGCTGCTCTTGGTGGCCGCCTTCAGGGCCCTCCAGAGCCGATAGGCTACACTACGATTGCAGCCGGAGAGACATCAATAACGACAAGCACAGTAAAATGACGGCATGGAGCGAGATCGAAGGGGAACAAAGGTCAAAGAACGAGGACGAAACGAATGACGGTAATGTGAAGGTTAAGAATCGCGATATTTTTCCCTGAAGGATTAAGTTAGGGTAACATCGTGTTACTAAAAGACTTTCGAAAGGCGCTACGGCGCTTTGGCCCATGAGAGTAAGTGTTTGCGGACCGACAAAATACTCGACACACCATCAGATAATGCACTGAACCGGGTATCGAGTGGCAACATTACACCAGAACAACAAACTCAATCGGGCGCGACTGTAACGCAGCGCTGATGGCGGACGTGCCAATATGCCCGCCCGGTGTACGGTTACGACTCATTTCAAGAGCTGCACAATACAAAGGTCTTGTTTAACACGACCACGGCTCAACACGACAAGAAATGAGCGCACCGCCGCTAAAAACATACATGAAATGGTGCTAATGCAAACTATCATTACCCTACCATCCTGGTATTTTTAAGTCCTTAGCCAAGCTACCCATAGCTTCCACTGTGCGACGGATTTCGGTCCGACCGCCGGCGACCACCCACCTTTGGTCAGCCGGTAGAGGGTGGTGTCCTGGTGGTCGTTGTCGTGAAGTTTGAGCACGCGGACCTCGGGATCATCGCCGGAGCCATGGCACGCCATTCCCGGTAAAAACTGCGGGTAGCTGCACGAGAATTTGTAGCGGTCCAAAGCCCTGCGAAGTGCCGGAAGGGAGGGTCAGAGCGGGCTCAGGGAGGGAGGGTCGAAGACGGCCGCTCGCCCTGGAAGATGGAGGAGTCTCTCTTGACGGTATGAATGTCGACAGGTCCCCAAGGCCGGCACGTGTCAAATGCCATGACTTGCCCCTATTCGTCACGTCAAGTAAAGCATCACGTACCACGCAAAATGAGCGGATTTATCCAGTAGAATGAGAGGTGGGAACACCCAACCCCTGGATGGAATGAGAAGTGAAAAGGTTGTTAGCATCAGCGTCAGAGTGTGCTGTTGGTCGTCTTTGCTTATCGACACAGGAGTTGCGCACAAAGTTAGGTAGCTTAGTCATGTGAGAAACGCAAACAAACCTAGGCTGCGCGATATAGACAGAATGTGAAGTGTTGAGTCATTGAGAGTTGAGACAGGTTGTTATTGAGACATGTTCAACAACATTGCAATTCGGTTTAAGGAAGTAGAGAAGACTTAAATGCAAGAGATGGTCAGTGGGGTTCTCACCGAGACAAGTGTGACGTGACATCCAATCAAAACCCGCCCTTACATGCAGAAGCGATCATGCAGGCCAGCCATACGTTCCGACAAGACAGCGTGCAAAGGAAGGACAAGCGAGGTCGAAGCCCAAAGGCCTAACGGTCGCGTTCGGCGTCGCCGGCCGATTTTTTAACGTCTCCTTGACCTAACTTGGATGCTGCATCGTTAACACTAATAACATTAATAGATAACCATCAGTCTATATTATGGTTATAAAAAACACGTGTTGGAACTACGCGACTTGCGAAACCTGTCTATGGCAGGCAATACGCTCAACTTAACAAACTTAAGCAGGCAGTCTACCTTCCGCGTACCAGTCCAGTGCCAGGCCACCGAAGTGGTGCAGGCGATAAACAAATTACTGGACGGACATCAGCTCTGCAGCGCGTCGGCGAAACCGCGGTACCGCAATGGTGGCGAACCGAAATTATAATCGTAATGTAGCGAGACACAAAAAAGAGGTTTGTTAGTTACACAAGGTAGACAACGCGGTATATCACACCATATTAAAAAAAAATCTAAAGAAAAATAGCCACTGGAGCCAGCTAGGTCTCGCTGTGGCCATGCTATGGTCCACGCTACGTCGTTACTACAACCTCGAATGAAAGGGACACCTGTTACCAGAGAACCTCCCGCCGCATGCACATACAGCACCTCGGCATTGCGCAATGTTATTGGTTGCTGGGTGGCCGATCACAGTAAGTCATCACAGAAGGCCTGACGATGAACTGTTGGCCATTGTATGACCAATGACCATGGCACCCGTTACTGCGCGCGCAACGATAACTGCCTCCGTGTTCGCACCACATCCGGATTACCGGCTAACGAGCAATTAGCTGAAAGTAAGCCATTCTGGTAATGGTGACCGCCTTTGCACGAAACAAGGCCTTTATGTTGGTTGCAAAGGGGCTAAGAATACGATTATAAATGAGAGACGCGACACCAACGATACACGCGAGGCCTGTAGTGTAATCCAAGCTATTGTTGCTATTGATCAATCAATAACGATTGTCTGTTTCCTTCCTGTCGATTAAATATACCACCGTGAGCGAAACAGCGTGGCATTGTGCAGCGGGTTAAGGGTAAGTGAAGCATTGTTGACGCTAGTGTCTATCGGTAACGCATGGAGATGTGAAGCACAGTCCTTCAGCTAAACAGAATGAGTGACAGCCTGCTGACTGCCCCGTGAACCACCCAGTCACCGCGAGATGTCAGGGGAACAATGTCGCCGTTTTGCATCTCTCCGGCGGCATATCGGCCGTTTATTTGATCAGTCCCGACTCAGCGCGGCGCCTGTCGACCCGCGTGGGAGACCTATAACATACACACGCCCCCGACGACAGACGGCAGACGCTCGTTCAGCCCCCGACTTCCACCCCCCATCGTAACACCGGCGCTACCTGGCGATCCCAGACATCAAAGACGAGCACGTGTATCGGATGTAACACGAGAGTCAGCGGGCCACAGACATGGTTCCGGCACCAGTCCAGCGCCGGGTGACGGGCAGAACACAGGTGTTGGGACATGTCCACATCGGCAGTTGCTATCCACAACATCCGGCGCGATCCGGTCCGTGGCGAGTGACCATGAGTTCGTCGGTGGGGAGGCTGCAGGCTAACCCGTGCACTGAGCCGACGATTCAGTCAATGAGCTCACAACTGCCGCCACAATGGCGAGAGCTGATCGGGAGATGGTTCGGCCGATTGACCAGACGTGACCGTGACCGTGACCGAGAGCCGAGAGCCGGTCGGTCGAACACCGGACCAACAGTGCGCAGTGTGAATAGCAATGGCACGGGGAAGATCAGGGGTCACGGCTGCACCTGGGAGCTCAGGACAAACACGCAGGATTGACGCACCCCTCACAGTGAAGGACTCGACGTGGGCTGAATGGGGAGATAATGCTGACACGCAGTAACCGAAACTGAGCTGCGGTCGTTTGTTTATGGGACTCTTGGCGTTATCTTGTTCGCAACATACCTAATACGCTCCGAGCGAAGAAGCCACAAAATTGCGTCTGCAGAGGTGAGTACGAGCTAATCGGTAGTGGCACAATCGACTACGACTCAATGATCGGTTGATCGGTAGTGACACGAAATTGGTGTATTTCCGACCAGTTTTACTATCGGCTACGGCAAAACGGGAAGACGACATCGCTGGCCGCACATAAACAAACACCAGCGTCTGCAGGGACTATGGACACCAGCTTATCGGTCGGCGTGGGCGAACCAGATACATTCCAGACATACAGTCAGCGCCATCCTGTAAGAAATAAACGGTACAGCAATACCGACTAGCATGTGCTCAGTGCGTGCTGTATGAAACATGTCGGAGTTAAACTGCTGATTCTTGATTTTTGTATACGCTCAACTTGATTATGAACAGCACGCATGCACTGCATGAAAGCTAACAGCCCATTTTAACGCGAAAATTTTAGCTCACTTTGGGAATGATTTTTATGTTAGGTTCAGCAATATGAGCTCTTGTCGTCGACGATCTTTCTGCCATAACGCAATGTCTTTCCCACATGTCTATGTTAATTCAGATAGCATTGACTCGGAGAGGCGGCCGGTTAGCGTAGGAATTTGTTAACCCGCGCCCTGCTGGGGGTCCTGGATTTCCACGCCCTGCTGGGGGGGGGGGGGTGTTTGAACACCCCCCTTGTAACTCGGCTCCTGGGCCACGTAGCGATACGCGGAAGGCGGCGTTCGAAAGAGCGTAAAAAATAATGACGAAATCACTTCGGTCAATTTTTTGGTCAGGTTAAAGGTCAGGTCACCAGAGGTCATTGAAGGCAAAATTTCGCCGATTTCCAGGTCGAATGTCGAAAATTTCCAAGAAGCCAACGCATAACTCGGGAACCAATAGAGCTACAGCGCCGCGGAAAAGCGCATTCGATAGCCCTATTAACGCCCTTTCTGAGTAATTCTCTCAGATTTGACCTAACGTCAACGGTTTTGCCTGCAGGGGGCAAAAACTGCAAAAATAGCCGATTTTTTCGAAAACAGTTTTTCTGCAATAACTTTTGACCCAAGCCTTGTACGAGCTTACTTTTACCGGCATCGTGTTCCTCTCGTCAAGACGCATCGAATGAACTATAACTTGACCTTGAAAGGTCAACTTGAAAATTTGACCTCAGGTCAAGGTCATGACCTGACCGGAAAGGGTCATGTTGCATATCAGTCGATCCGTATCGTCGAGCTGAACACATCTAAGGCGTTTTCATCGCTCTAGCATGCCTCTATCAAAAGTTATTTGCGAAAAACTGATAGATACCATTCGTGACCTAAGATGACCTCAGGGCATAAACAAGGGTCACGGACACCATTTTCAAGTTCAGTGTGTCTAAACCACTTGTAATTCGGTGTTTGGGAGTGTTTATAATGTCTTTCATCCAAAAGAGGCGCATTTCAATTTTCTCCCATTGAATGGGGAGGTCGCAAAATTGACCTGACCTTAGGTCATCGATATCAAAATTCTGAGATATACATTTTGTACATGCTATTGCTCTTAGCAATCGCTGAAAGTTTCAAAGCGATCGGTCACTCGGTGTAGCTATGACAGACATTGAAACTTTTTATGAGGTGAGGTCACTTCAAGTGACCTGGTGACCTGACCTTGAATGACCTTGGTCTGAAATTTTCACAACATGTGTAGAATTGATGTATGATAAGGTATACTAAAAACGGCGGCGCTCCGCGCCGCCGTTTTTGAGATATTCGCGAAAAACCACAAGGGGGGGTGTTCAAACACCCCCCCAGCAGGGCGCGGGTTAATTTAAGGACACCACGAAAGTGTAGGGAAACGACCTTCTTCCTACGAAAATGTGATTCAAGCGTGATGGTGTGATGGTGCACTTCGGTCATGTTTGTCAGAATCGACATCATCAAAACATGACAAAATGGCAATCCAAAACACAAAAACAGGATCGATGCCTAAACATAAAACATGAACTGCAACAGGTGCCAACCACCACACCAGCAGCGGGGCCGGACGTGACGAGACAGACGGACACCCGACCCCCTCCTACTCACGGGAACACATCCTTGGGCTCCTGTATGTCGGGCGGCGGGCACAGAATCACCTCAATCACCTCGTCGACGCGTTCGACCACCGTGTTGCGGCCCATGGCTGCAGCTCGGCCGTAGTCGCCGCGGCACTGGCCGGCGCTCACCGCCAACTGCAGACTGCCGAGCGGGCCGGGCCGGGCCCGTCGGGACCTTGAGGCGGTCATTTCGCCACCGTCGGGCCGCGCCTCCGCCGCCGAGCGGTTGTATACACACCGGCGACCAGTCAGCCGGCGGCCGCGCGCGATCGGCCGATATGCAGCGGGCGCGCTCCTTACCACCGACGCAGCGAGGACGCCCCCCCCCCCCCCCCCATCGGTGTGTGTATGGAAATGGGCACACAGCGCCGGTCTGCGCTGGGTCAACAGACGTCCGCAGCTTCTCACGGGGACAGGCTGACACAGCCGCGAGGCACAGCACACAGACAGGCCACCGGGCAGACAGACGTCAGGTCGGGTCGGGGTCGCCGCGGCGGTGGGCCGCCCTCGACCCAGATTGCGATAGTCCGCCGGCGGCAGTCGGCAGACCTGCCCCCCTCCCCCGGTGTGCTGACCACTGCAGCGCGCACCAACAGACGCCGTCACCAATGTCAGGCACAGACGCAGCCTTACGCAGGTGCGTGGTTAAAGCGGCCACATCGAGACAGGTTGGTATGCGAGCCGCGCGTGGTGACGTATGGGTTGGGCCTTCAGTGAGCGAGACGAAGCGACGTTAGAACAAACTACGAAACGGGGGATGGTCCCGTCGGTATGAACCTCACATACTACGGCGCCCCACGCATCGAGTTCAAGGTTTCCGATACGACGAGAATGGATAACAATGGGTGTTTTGCTTCTTGATAAACGGCATTTCCGAGAGTTACGAAAGACTGCTGTGCGTAATACAGGAACCAAAATAAGATTCAAAGAACAGCAATAAAACTTACTTCAAATATTTCTTCCACATCTATGTTGAATAATTGAAAAAGGATTGTTAAATATGTGTCTTGTTGTGAATCTTACGTCATCCTTAAACATCCACTAACAAAGTCCAAAAAACGTTTCTTAATTGCTATTTTTCCTAGCTAATTGATCGCCATAGCATATTGCGACAATAGTTTACCTTTTAGATCGGGACAATAAGTTACGCAATGCACGACTTTACTCAATCAATAATTAGATGGAATTGAGTTGCAGTTCATAATCTTCATCACCTGATCAATGGCCATGACTATTGACTACGATTATGCACGCATAAATCCACGCTAAAAATGTGCTGCATAAATGCCTAACGCAGATTTGCAAGACAAACATGAAATGGCACCCACAGTCGTCACGATTACGTCCGAAGATAAATTCAAAAAATTAAACGAAAAGTTAAATTGACGTCCGATGACCCAGGAACACCAGTCAACATGCGGCTAAAAGCCTCGAAATTCTATGTCTCGAGATGAGTTAAAAGATCTTTTTCGTGAAATTTTCACTCAGGTATAGACAATTGGAAAGGCCGAGAGGCATATGTAGACATTTTTTACGATAGGCGAAAAACCGGTAGGTCTGCCGAGTCTAACGGACCCGGTAACACCGCCAACAAAAGATGTTTACGTCGTCAGCGTCAAATGTTAGGGCAGAGGGCTTGTGCCACCGAATATAAACAATTACTGGCTCCTATCAGAAACTCAATATTAACAGCTCCGCAGAGATCGACTTATCAAATCGGGGCTTATCGTACTGCTATAATACAAACCGATATATTGCCGAAAGCCGCCAATCATTGCAAACTTGCAGACGTTAGCTACCGTGTACATAAGCAATGACCTAGCACACAGAAAACTAGTCTTAAAATTAAAACTTCATTATAAAGCTCCTTCATTATCAGAAGAGCTGGTAAGTAGCAACGTCCAAATATTCACAAGTTCATGGACAAAATCACCAGAGGACAAAACCCAAAGCGTTACCAAGAGAAACAAACGCCATACCTTGGAAGAAGCGATTATCACGCAAAGGTTAGTAAAGCCACCATCATTCATGTGCCACTGCTGAAAGCATGAACTCTCTCAAGGTTAGTATCGTAAGTAATCCAAAGATGTAGACCGTCACCAGTCCCTGAAAAAGCACCAGTAGGCACCACCCAGCTCCACTGTCATGCAAGGGTTAGTAGATCCAGCGAGTGCCACCACCACCATCCTGGAAGCACATGTCAAAGCGGCTGTCATGCACGGGTCAGTGGAAGCCCAGCCACCCGGCAATCGCCGAAGCCAAGCCACCGGCGTCGGCAACATCGTCGTCACTCACGTCATGCCTTCCTCTTCAGGCAGGTCCTCCCCCATGGCGGCGGCTGGCGCACGGCGGGCGCTCGCTCCTGGCTGAAACACGACCGTCACGTCACCTCTGCCGCTTCGGTCACCTCTGGTCCTCCACTCCGCCGCCGGAGGAGGAACGGACACGGTTATCTGCGACCACTGCCGGGACGGACGTGCGGTGTGCGCCCGGCGCCGATAGCGCGCCCACTGCGACAGCTCTCTGTACCGTCCAGACCCGTTCACTGGCCGTCACTGCTGACACAGGCCCGGCGAGCCGACACAGAAAAACAGCGGCCGTCACGGCGCGTGGCAACAGGCCGCCGGCGGTGGCGAGCTCGGCCCGTGTTTGGTTTCCATGGCGTGAGAGCGGGGCGTGCTCGGGCCGTGCCGGAGTCGTGCAAAGGAACGGCGGCGGACGCGCCCGAGCGCCCCGCCCGAGATACGACACCGGACGGAGGGAAACGCCGCACGGTCAGTCGGGAAACCGGACACCAATCGCGTGAACGACAGACTCGCGGTGCGGCGGAGGCGGAAGAGGAGGAGGATACACGACGACTTGGTAGCGCTGTGAACAATATCGGTCACCGACCTCTCATAGGTATCTTTTGTTTCATCGAATAATACCGATACATACCAAAAGGCATGAAATAGGGCTTAACATTTGAGGGTGACATAACTCAGTTGATAGATGTTTCAGCGGGCACCTCGGTCCATTAGGCACCGGCTGCAGTGCGTCTTCATAAACAGAACTGTTCACGCTGTTCAGCGGTATGCACGCTGCACGCTGTTACTACAAACAGAAACAGCCAGTCGCACCGCCAGTGTCCATCTCAGCCGCCCAGTTATCGGCCGGCCAGAGCACCAGCGAAGCGCGCTCAGATAGATCACTAACTGTCGCTCGCTGGTAAATTCCTTCACGTGCTCTCAGTCCGTCGGGAATGGGCTACGTCGAATTCATGGAAACATCGATAACAGCATGCAGCTAGCGGTACTCGTATTTCACACCGATAACGTGCGAGTCGCAAGTCATACACTAGATGCCAAAACTCATCGATGTTTAGCAATTATGAGCAAGTCAACAGAAAAAGTAACAAGATAATAGCGTGCAGATGATTGACCGAAATGATACGTTCAAAAACGTCGGTACTTACTGGTAAGTAGTTGATGCGTATAATTTGCTCCTGCGAGAATTTGGAGACCCGGAAGTTTATTGGGTCCTGTCAACAGTAAGGAACGAGTGTTAAAGGTAGGCCGAAGAATCACTTCACAGCAGTGATAAGATACGAGGGCACAAAGACCTCCCAGTCGATGCATCCCACCTCAAAACACCTCAGCTAACAGACAAACAAAGCGATTCCAGGTTGACATAGGACATAAGAAAACGATCCGGCCGTCGGAGGTAGATCGCGTCTTCGGTGTCCGAATTCGGGGTGGATAGCACACAGGTCTCGTAACTCACGCATCCACCAGCATTCACCCCGCTTCTGTACACAAGGTCAATCATTAGTCGCATGTCTACTGTCCCGCGACGAACTGAGCTGGCCATCGTGTCATTAAAGGGCACGATGCATGTCGTTTCGGGAGTCCATTTGGCTTCTGAATTTGAAACCGTCGGCGCCTCACATCCCTCTTTGACGGTCACTGCTGGCCCACGGACTGCGACCAGACGCATCACCCCACCGGAGGTCGAGTCACCCGTCATACTGCGGTCACGCATCACGGATAGTCCCGCAGAGTCCAGGGTCCCTCCAGCCCTCCCCTTCAACACGCAGTAAGATGGGCTCCAGATGGCCACGTGGCATAAAAGAGAAGACAGCCATGCAGTGAAAATATGGATAGGTATAATGCCCCTATCATGAACTTCTTGAGGCATACAAAACCTTCATTCATACCATTCAAAGTATTTTAACTTTTTTCTTCTCAAAGGTAAAAAAGACAATGACCTTAGTCTTACACATTTTCCCTTTCATGGAACTGGATGGATATGAGCACATAGTGACAATAGCTTTTAGATTGACAAAACGTCTTGGGCTGGGCTTGAATTTAGCATGAACTTCTAGTTCAATACATGCATCTGCAGGCAGAATCCAGCCTGTCAAGATAACCCTAAAGCAGCAGTGTATCATGCATTAGGTAATCAATAGGTATTCATGGGTTGATGGTTCCACCCCTCCTTGGGAACAGAAAAGTGATTTATGATTGCAGGAGCACACTTGTGGAACTATGTGATGTAACTATGGAAGTAAAGTCTAAAAAATTATGGATGTTATTCATACATTCTTGAGTACATTAAATTTAGGAACTGTGCAGCAAAAATATATTTCATTTCCACAAATGACAGAATTCAAATTTCCACTTAACCCGCGCCGGGCCGGGGGGGTGTTTGAACACCCCCCCTTGCGGTTTTTCGCAGATATCTCAAAAACGGCGGCGCGGAGCGCCGCCGTTTTTGGCACACCTGTTCGTGCATCTTTTCCGCACATGTTGTGAAAATTTCAGACCCAGGTCACCTTAGGTCAGGTCACCAGGTCACGCCAAGTGACCTCACCTCAGAAAAATAAGAATGCTCGTCATAGCTACACCGACTGAACGATTGCCTTGAAACTTTCAGCGATTGATTAGAGCAACACTATCTATAAAATGTATATCTCGGAATTTTGATATCGGTGACCTAAGGTCAGGTCAATTTTGCGGCCTCTCCATTATAAGTCAATGGGAGAAAATTGAAAAGCGTCTGTTTTGCACGAACGCTATTCTAGACACGCTCAAACATCGAGATGTGGGTAAAATAGACACACTGAACCATAAAATGGCAACTGTGACCCCTCGTTATGTCCCCGAGGTCATCTCAGGTCACGAACAGAATCTAACAGTTTTTCGATGATAACTTCTGATAGAGGCGTGCTAGAGCGCTGAAAACGCCTTAGATGTGTTCGGCTCGACGTTGCGGATCGACTGATATGCAACATGACCTTTTCCGGTCAGGTCATGACCTTGACCTGAGGTCAAATTTTCAAGTTGACCTTTCAAGGTCAAATTATAGTTCATTCGACGCGTCTCGACGAGAGGAACACGATGCTGGCAAAAGTAATGTCATAGCTCTTTTGAGTCAAAAGTTATTGCCTAAAAAAACGTTTTTCGTAAAAACGGCTATTTTTGGAGTTTTTGCCCTCTGGAGGCTAAACCGTTGACCTGAGGTCAAATCTGAGAACATTACTCAGAAAGGTCTGTAAAAGGGCTATCGAATGCGCTTTTTTGCGGCGCTGTAGCTCTATCGGTTCCCGAGATAGCCGTTGGCAGTTTCCAAAATGTTGAAATAGTCAACATTTTACCTTTGGTGACCTCAAGTGACCTGACCTTTGACCTGACCCAAAAAATGACCGAAGTGTTTTCGTCCTTATTTTTGACGTTCTTTCGATTGCCGCTTACCGCGTGTCGCTACGTGGCCCAGGAGCCGAGTTAGAAGGGGGGGTGTTCAAACCCCCCCAGCGGCCCGGCGCGGAATCTCAGAGCACCGGCCCGGCGCGGGTTAAGGATGATTGGATTCATCTTTCAGCAGGAGTAACCATATCTAAATATTAATCTAAATGATGGAAAAGTAGCTAAATAAGATATGATAATTTCCTATCATGTATTTATGTGTGTCCTTTAGCAAATATTCATGAAACTGGGCCGCTTTAGAGTTACGACGGACAGCCAACACATCCACTTTTCATTTTCCTACAGCATGATGGATAAACAAGTTAACTTATTCTAATTACAATTTAACACAACAGCATAGATTTGGGGGTAAGATCTTAATTAAACCTGAACTTCTGAGGTCCTATAACAGGTCATAAGTAAAAGCCAAGACCTAATGTCATTGGGTATTGGCTTAACACCTGTTTGCCTCATTTAGCTATTTAAACATTATGCACATACACAAAGATGATGCCAAGAGCAATCGCAAGGGTAGCTGCATGAAAAATTAAATCATCTGTACTCACGTATCCATAAAAGCGAAGAAAATGGCCATAATGATAAGCCAGGCAGATTATCCAATGCTCTGTGGCGTGAAGGGAAATCAAAACAAACCAATTACGACCTCGCCCACGGGCATTCGACGGCTCTCACCCACACAGCTGCTTCGCGTTGATGCTAAAAATAGAGTAGAAAGTAAAAACAACCCACCTTTTCGGTCCTAAATGGTTAAAAAGAATGTAGTCTTCAACTCAAACTTGGGATTTATATGCAAAGTGAATAGCAGACGACAGGACAAATCGGGCGAATGCAGCGCGTTTTCAGGCCTTCGCAAGGTCACGAGAAGTCAAGACAGAGGCACCTCTCGGCAGAAAAAGTTACTAACTGGTGAAAAGATGACGCCCCAGTAGCTCCATGCTCCAGCCGGGTTCCAGTTCAGATGATTCAGCGATGACCGAGGGAAGGTCACTACGGTCATGCAAACGACCGTCCTGCACGAAGGTCGCTCTGTCTTTCCTGGCCTAAGCTTTTGCCAAATTGTCAGGGAACTCAGATTTGTTTTTCAATAGAAAAACACAATTCTAAAGAATAGTGTTTTAACTATTGACAACAAACCTTCGGTTACTCACGAACTAGTGGTTTCTGATTGAATACAGACGACTGTGTTGTTTCGAAATTAAAATAAAATTGACAGCAAGGCGCATGGTGTGGAGAACGACGATGTAATTTCGCTTTTGTTTTGTTTTGTTGGGTTAGGCCCTTTCGGTCCAATAAGACCATTTCAGAGCCGGGAGGATGATAGGATATAGGGGGAGACATTGGTCTGGGCAGGCACCCTAGTGAGTCGCCGGGGCTGAGCCCGTCCAGAGGACAGGCCACCCAGCCCCAAGGCACTCACTGCACCCGGCTACGGGGTGCGCTCCCTCGGGAGCAGCGGTGCCGCTCCAAGGGAGCAGCCCACATGAGATAAAGTTGCCTGTCCAGCCCAGAGGGAGGTTGCGGCGTGGAGGAGAAGGATTTCAGTATCCTGAGGATAGAAGCACGGAACGGTGATGCAATTTCGCGCAAGTTTGGTAGGCACTTTGATTTATCATTGGATCTTTGTTTCTAGTGTTACCTATCTTGCATATTGGACAACTGCAAGACAGATCGAGAATCGTCAATTAATCGGTAAATCAAATAATCGTCTTCCCATATTCATTGTATTTCTACCTGGCACCTGCCTGTGAATGTTTTCACTCTCCACTTCCTCAACAGGATGTCATCGCCGCAAGGTACCTAGAAATTCGGTTTTACCAGGCCTTGGTAAGTATCAGCGATGCTTCCTATGCCGTTTATTGCCTACATGTGGCCATGTCTTGTACACAGCCGTCGCCTTTTTGACGACAGCGACCACCCCCGTCCGTCATCGCTCCGCCCCGTGACAAGCAATAAACGGGAGCAGCAACAGTGAGCGACCTGCACTACGTGTCAGAAATTGGCAGTAAATCGAGGAATTCGGTAAAATGAAAAGGGGTAGTCATTCAGAAAAGGACGAGTTAACAATTGTTTACCTATATTGCAATGGCACTTTACAATAGAATGACCGGTGGATGTCTACCAAATCAAGGCCATCAAAAAGAAGACATGGAAAACAAGTGACGGCAGACAATTGAGCCGAACAGAGATTTATGTACGCGATTACCGATGATGCCAAGAATGTTCAGACAAAAGTTGCTGGAAAAAAAAAACATTGGCCACCCGAGCAGCCATAATTTGAGCTAGCAATAACAAATATGTGACGTCTCCTTCAAAGTCGCTGACAACACACCGCAGCCTCGTGACCAATCCGGCTAATAAACCTTATCGATAGCATCCTTTCCACACTTGATTCAAATCTGCAACAAACTAGCCATTAATTCAACAATCTCACTGTAACAGCCAACACACAGTCCAACAACGAACACCGTCGCGCGTCGTTCGTCTCCCAGTCTCTCCCTCCCCTCCCCGCTCTCCCCCACGCCCCACGTTCCACTACATCCACTTGTTCTGGGCGGCGGGCGCCTCCTCTGCCTGCACGCCCTGTCTGGCGGCCCTCCACAGCAGCAGGCTCTGCAGCTGCTCCGGCTCGGCGCGGTACACCAGGTCGCTGAAGTCCACCACCAGACGGCTGGCGCTGCTGATACCGACCATCGCGCTCGCCACGTAACTGTGGTCGTTGATGACGCTCTCGGCCAGTTCCACGTAGTTCCACGCCTGAGAGAACTGCCGGAACGCCTGGTCGTTCTTACCCTGGCGTGGACAGAGACGAGGGATGGTTAGATAACTGTGGGAGGACCAACGACATAGGCTCATAAGTCCGGAACACTTCAAACGAGAATGGCTGCGAATTTAAGCCGTACAATATTATCAATGCATCACTACAAACTACTGATGTTTCCGCAACTGAACAATCACGAACGAATAGCGACCATAACTCATGGAATTCTGACTCGAGTTTCCCTTCCCGTCAGACCCCACAGCACTCATTTCTCCCAAACAAAGCTCTTGCTATCATGACAGCACAATCTATTGATTTCTCATTTCGTCAGCGAGAGGCACCGTGGGCGCGGGATGCCTGCGGTTAATAGCCATGATTACGGGTTAGAGGACTGACTGGTTAATAGGTGCCCTCACCATGGAGAGGTAGATGTGTCCCAGCTCCGAGCTGGCCCGTATAATCTCCTCGTCCAGGTGCTGTCCGCGCGCTATGTGCTCACTGCGCTTCAGATTGTCCACCGCCAAAGGGAGCTTACCCATCCTGGGGTCAGACAGAGTATAAACGAACAGTAAGTGAGAGCGATAGCTTGCTGTGCTTCGGGAGAGCAAAACAATCAAGAGTTCTTCCACTAGAACGGCTAATGCTGTACTAAACCGGAAACGTCGCTGATAATGTATACAAAAAAAAAATCCAGAAATACTAAGTAAATCATTTTTCAGCCAGCAACACGGAAACGCGGATGGTCTTCTGTTCAGACAAGCAGGGTTGCAATCCCAAAACCTAGTAACTAACTGCCTCAAAAGTCCGTAGAATTCCTGCGTTTCGGCAAGTCACATTTCATGATATCACAATGCGGTCTTAACATCTTATCTCAGCCACCATCCCCTGCCGGCCCCTTACTCACGCGGCGTGACACTTTGCGATCTTGAAGCAGCCCGTGCAGACTCCCTTGAAGTTGAGCAGTTTGTCCGAGAGCCGCAGGTAGGCCTCGTAGCGGCGCAGCGCGTTCTGCCAGTTGCCCATCTTCTCCTGGATCTCTCCCAGGTTGTACTGAGCCATCGCCTCGGCCTGCATGTTCTGGGCTGTCGGACGGGAATAAGAAATAAAATGACGAGGCGACGGGATTTGAGTATTACGACAAGGATAAGATGTCGGTGCTAGTTGATGACTCAAACGGGTCTGATATAGCAGCTGCAGCTGAGTGGTTTAGTATATCGATTCATTTATCGACAACTAAGAACAATATCACGAAATTAGCCTGAATACATCTGATTAAAGGTATATAAAGTAATGAGTGCGAAAACGCATTTTATGGGGTTTCAAATCAACGAATATTCAGCGATATAGTGTCATCCGAACCACTTCTAACCAGCCATACCACCCTATCTCGGTCCCGTCTCCCGCCGGCACTGACCCTGGTTGGCCATGACGGAGGCTCTGAGGTAGAGTTTGAAGGCCTTCTCGAGGTCCTCCTTCTCGGCGGCCACCGCCTGGCTGAGGTAGACGTCCTGCAGCAGCAGGCACGAGTAGCGGTAGTAGCTGTAGTTGTCCATTGTCTCCCACACCTGTTTGTAGGAGAGCCGGCGGAACTTCTCCAGGTGCGTCAGCGCAGCGCTGATGTTGTCTGCAGGAGCGCAGATGCGGGATGTTAGGAAGACGATACGTGTCGGGTCTAAGGCGATTGACGGAAAAGATACACCGCCTACTGAATTCCGATCATCAGCTATATCGGGGATACAACGGAAAGTAGTTGAAGCTGGACGTCGTTCACAAAAAACACACAATGGAAAACACGACAGCTTACAAAACAACACCCCGACACGTGTGTGGTTGAAGAAAAACTATCCAGCAACAAAACTGTCAACCCTTACTGTCCATTAATTTCCAGGGAAGATGAGTCATAGAGACGCACTTACCTTCGAAGAACCACATGATTCCCACGTTGCAGTGAGCCTCGCTCTCCCGCATTTTGCCATCGTCCTCGATTTTCTTGCCGAACTCGAGGCACTTGTCGAAGAAGTGGTTAGCCAGCCACAGGTCAGGAGGGTCCTTCAGAAAGAAGGAAAGCGAGATCGTTGGCCGATCCGTAGGCGGACATGTAGTCGTCTGAAAGCGTACAATGTTCACTTCACGTACAATTATCAACAAAACGGGAGGAAACTAACAGTCTTACGACATCGTGGGGCATCCGGCATGAGATACAAAACAATGTTTCAAGTTGGTTGCAAGATAAAAAGCGCAAAATTTAGGACAAAAATGGCACACAAGCACACCAAGTCACACCTGAGTACAGTTGAGGGAATGATTGAACGCAGGAAATAATGCATGAATGAATGATTGAACCCAGGAAATGATGCATGAATGAATGAATGAATGAATGGATGAATGAATGAATGAATGAATGAATGAATGAATGAATGAATGAATGAATGCTGATGAATGTGTGAATGAATAAATTAATGTCGATGAGAGTGGGAATGAATGAATGAATCAATAAACGAATGAATCAATGAATGAATGAATCAATGAATGAAAGAATCAATGAAAGAGCGAGTAAATAAATGAATGAATGAATGAATGAATAAATGAATGAAGAGACAAAGGAATGAATTTCCGCCTTAAAAAAAATATTCATGATGGGCATTGGGCAATTTCAACGCTGGTCAAAGGCCACGCAACTCTCTAAAACCCTAGAAACCACGCCTAAGCGAAACATCCCCATCCCGTCCTGCGGTCGCACGTCGTCGGACAGACTCCTCCACGTCGACCAGGCACTGTTTGAGTTTCTGCAGCTTGTGCGGCGTCTCCTCGATCAGCGGTGCCGGCGCCTTGGCGGCCGCCTTCTGCGCCGAGTCGCGCCGCAAAATGTGGTACATCTCCGTGTGCGCGTGGTGGCAGCCGCGCTCCAGCACGTCGATACAAAAGTTGTGCTTCAGCTGACTACGGTGGCTGGAGGTCGGCAGCGGGCAGAGGCGGCGGTGGTGGTGGCAGGGGAGAGGAAGAGATGGGTTAGGAGAGGGGCATGATGAGGCGGTCAAGGAAGAGGTAGAATTGAATGAGGTGGAAAAGAGTGAACAAAAGGATTTTTGTGCGATATGGTTAGTGAGTGACATCACAGGTCCTGGGAATCGTTTCATTTTGCGAATATCACATCAGAAAATCACAAGCTGGCCGTACCTTACATCATCATTCCCAAACCTGTGACTAACCATCTCCCCCACACAGTCCGAGACGTCCCTCCCCCCTCCTCCCTCTATCCTCTTACCAGTGGGCGCTGGCGCGGGCCAGCATCGGCAGCTGGCACCGCTCGCGCAGGATGCGGTCCTCCAGCTCCTGTTCTGCCGGCATGCGGTGCTTCTTGGTGGAGAACATGCGCTCCATCTCGCGCTGGTTCTCCGCCAGCTTCTCCGGCTCCCGACGCTGAGAGCTGGTGGGACAGGGGAAAAGTGAGGTAGATCAGCCGCAGGATTATCATCGGACGGGTGATGAGCATTATTGGCGCTGTAGAACAGAGCGAGTAGAGAAACCGGGCCAAGCCGCTTTGGCGTTCGCAATCACAAATGGACACGTCCAGCGTTCGATTTAACTTATGCCGAGTACCAACAAGATTCCGATCACGAGGCAGAGGTTAGGTCAGGATCTAAGCAATAAGCTACGCTTGACACACCGGATCGGAGCATTGGCGATCTGTCCGATTCAAACACACCGGAATCTCACAGAAAGGGGTCCTGGACGCTGATCGTTGACCCAATCACGCGGATACTGAGCGAGAGCCCGATCCGAATATAATCCCATCTCAAATCTCCGTTCTAATCGTGACGTAGTGGTTATCTTTCACTCATCACCACACACTACTTCAACTGGCTTCCCTTTCCCGGGAACAGGCCCACCTAATGACGCTCTCGTCTTCGCCCTCACCTACTACACTCTCCCCAGGTGCACTAGGGCCCAGTATCCCTCTCCCCTCTCGTCCCGCCGCGCTCCGCCGACCTGGTGATGCGCTGCGGCCGGTCGTCGGCCGCCGAGTGGCGACTGCGGAACACGGGCGGCAGGAAGGAGCGCACCACGCGCCGTTGGCTGCTGATGAAGAGCCGCGGGTCGCGCTGCCGCAGGTACTGGCTGATGACGCTGCGCTGCTCACAGGCGCCCGGACGCGCGTCCGAGCGCTCGCTCAGGATCGAGGCGCGCGGCTGGGTGAGGTAGAGCAGCCGCTCACGCAGCTCTTGGCGGCGCTTGTCAGCCAACTACCGATGGACAGGAGTGTCAGTGACGAGTAACAAGCATTGATACTGACACATGCTGAGGCATGAGTGGACCAGAACAGGACCAGAGGCCAGTTTTACCAACAGAAATATCGACAGCTGTGGTTATTTCTCGCATAAATAGTTTAACTTGTGGGAGATGTAAGACCTAAAAGTGGCCACGGCAGATGATTTTCGAAGGCAAGCTTGGCCTCTGGTATAGCCACTGCCAAGTATTTCCTAGAAGCCCTGGTCAGATCTATTGACACATACTGGTTGGATAGGGAATGTCACAGCTCAAACATCCTTGATTCTGATGAATGAAAAACATGAAGAAACATGGATCAACAAAGTAACAATGAAAACACACACAAAAACAACTCACCCCATATGGGTCATCAGCTGTGTCCTCCCCCTCCTGTTTTTCCTCAACTGCAGTGCTCTCTTTCTTCCCAATGGCAGCAGACTGCATGGAAGGTGTCTGAATGCTGACACGGTGGGTGCCGGGCTCCTTCTCAGTAGAAGGGTCTTTCATGCTAGAGCTGGTGGGCTCCTTTGTGGCTGACGGTGCTGGTGCCGGGGCACCAGGTTGGGCTGCAGAGGTGGCAGGCTCAGGGCCCACCTTGCCAGTGGCATTTGTTGAGGGTGTGACTGTGACCGCTGGTACCATGGCTGCAGACCGGGAACTCATTGCTTCTGTGACTGCTGCACACACAAAATAGCAGGTGAGTGGGACCCCTCCAAATTAATAACCCAGCCAGCAATTTTGCTCCGGGCCCAAGCAGGCGCAAGTGCGGATTGCCCGAGATTTTTAGTCAGGCTAAAGTCGGCTAGGGCTTGGGCTAAAGTTGGCGTATGACACAGAAACGCCGACTAAAGCCCATGCTCTGCCGGAGGTATGCCCGCTCTGCGAGCTCCGGGCAGCCGTAATTTAGCCCTAGTTGAGCGACGATTGGCGTTAGCCCGATTTAAGCCCGAGCAGTGAATCCATTTATATGGAAATTACTCTGGGCCCGAGCGGGCTGAACTCCGGCAAGCCCACTCTGTGTGCCCTGTCTATCCCGACTTAAGCCATAGAAGTGAATGGGGTTTATACATTGCAAACTGCTGTGGCTTTGCTCGGGTTCGGCTCGAGTGACGGCTCCTGTTTTCTCAAGTCTCGACTTGACTTCATCTTGCTTTTGCTTCACACTGGATCAAGTAGCAAGGAGCAGCCAATGCACTTTCAGAAGGTTGTGTGGTTTTAATGCATATTTAAAATTGCTACGCCCTACGGTCACTCATATGCTCTGTTAACCGGTCATCGAGCATTGCGAAAGGAAAGTAGTGGTTGAGTTTGATTGAATGTTTATTTCAAACGACTACAGACACGTCAAATGGAACACAAATACATGAAACAGTGGACTGCAAACTGCAGCAATTATATGGCATGAGTCATGAAAAAGCGCCATCAAAACTAAAAATCAATCACAAGACCCGCTAGCCTTCCTCCCCGTTCGGCGTTCATAATTCTTGGTTGAACACTTAACTGAAAGCATAAAGTAAGGACAGCAAGTAATCGCTCATAAGACATAAAGCAATTAGCAAACAATCGTTTATAAAGAACTTCACTCTGGCGAATGGGAGCTTTGGAGGCGTCTGGCTCCTCCACACACACACACATCTGCAGTAGGTGGTCGGCCAGCTTTCGGCGCAGTTTCCGTATATGTAGGCATACCTACTTAATTATAAGCAGGCAGTTTCCGCTAAACCACTTGGCGAGGGCGACAGCGGCGTCCACCCGGTCCTGGTTTGTATAACTATTCCATTTTTTGGAACAATTTGCTCGAATGGTACGTACCTGAAAAAGAGATCAATTGATTTAATTTACATTGCATGTTTGCTTGAAAAATAACTTATTGTTGCATTAATACTGTAACAGCACTTCTCATTGATCCGTATAAAATGTTCATTCGAATTTTTCAACGCGGACAGAGAATGAGCGTACTCGGTGATAAATAGATAAATTTGTGTTTTGTATTTCATTTTCCTGGTTCAGAAGTGCTGTTATTTCACAAAGATATGCATAAAGGCAGTAGGCACGGAATGCGGCTTTTCTGAGCGAGGGTATAAGTCGCCAGGCTGAACAGCTATTCAGCTTCATGTTTGATGGCGTGAAACTCAGTCAAAATAATGACGTTTACATGCGATCAAGCGCACCATTCAATACAATTACCTACCGTAAAACTCCATGCCAGTCCACTTGATAAGAGCAATGAGCACTATCCCTTCTTCGCGCTGTCACACGCGCCCAAACATCAACCACCAAATGCCCAAACA